AACGGCTAGATTTTTGATTAAAATCCTGATTAAAATTTCTCCCAAACAGGGCCATAATGTCATAATTAGTCAATATTTTCTTATAGAACTTTCACTATGAAACTAATATTTTTTTTATAATGTTTTCAGGGAAATAATTTTCAAGTTACGCTGTTTAAGGACACTGTCAAAAAATTGGAAAAAAATACCGACTTCGAAACGGAAAAATAAGAGCAATCAACCATTATTTAACATTTTCACATTATATGCATAGTTTCACAGTGTGTATATATATATTTCACATTATATGCAATTTTAATTTTTCATTTAACAATATTAATTATCTCAACTACTTTAAAAAATAATACAAGTACTTCAAAAATATTACACATCATTTATTCGATATATAAAAAAAAAGGATTTCAAACGGGGGCTAAATATACCCTCGACACATTTCTCACCTGTAGAGAGGTCAATCAATTTGAGGTCTCTAATTAGTCTGTCTTAACACTAATAAAAATAAATAAATTAAGGAGCAAATGATTGTTGACAAAAATATAGTCGAGTGATAATACAATTTGAAATCAATATTGATTGGTGTGTCATATCATTGATGATCACCCGTACATCATAATTAGCTATTAACGACGGTGATTTCGCTAGTGATGTTGTCGATAATCTCTGATGGTGCTTATTTCACGTAGATTATCGCTAACAATTAAAAAAAAAGGTTCAGACGATTGTGTAAGTAACAAACATTTTGAGACAAAATCCCAAAAATAGGTGCTTTATTTATGAAGATTACAATTGGAAAGAAGCAAAACGCCTCCAAGGAGCACAAGTACACGAAATAAATTAAAAGTTTGTAAATAGAAAGTAAATGAATTGAAATTAAATATTCTATGTTGAGAGTATTTGATTCGAGGTTCTTCCTTCTATGTCTTATTTTTCTTTCTTTTATTGTAGAACTGCTTGAAAACTGCTGACGCTATATAACTACCAACTTTCTTCATGATGGCTGACTTGTCAATGAACTACCGTTAGCAATTGTTGTTATTACTCTTGTTATTTAACAGCTTGTAACCGAGATTCTTAGATATTTGGGTGTGATAAGGTTGCTCAATAATCGCTTCAATAACTGAGCAAAACGCTATATTCATCAAGACCTTGGGCGTCTCGAAAGCTTGGACGAGAGTGAGACTGTCGTTCTAAGCGACAATGGGGTACTTCATTCGCTCAGATCCTGGACGTTTTGCAGGCTTGTGCGATGATAGTCCTTTGCTTGTGGGCTGTCATTATATTTTATATTGGTCTTATTTGGGCTCATTCCTCAATNGCTCATTCCTCAATTTCTCTAACTGAGCTCAATTTCTTGAACCACATAATTGGGCCTTATTTTTGTATGTCATCAATGCTTTTATCATCGATGGAAGTCATTCGAACGATAGTATTCCTAAAATTGACTCATACTGAAAAAATAATTACAAGACTAAAAAAAAAAAAAGAACTAATAATAATCGTGCAATAAGAGCCCGAGTAAATTAATGTTAAATTCAATTTTTTTTTTTTTTTTTGAAAATGAGAGAGGAAATATGATACGATGACCAACTAATTTTCATATTTGAGCTGATTAAATTAATCAAATTCAGCCAACACATTGAAATCTTGATCAGCGGAGTCCAGATTCCGATCTACATCAACACGAAGCTTTATGTACTCGATGAAGCGAGACATGGTGTTGGAAATTGGTTAACTTTATTTTTAATTATACATTTCATTAGACCAGCAATTTTTATCCACATTTTAATCACACATATTATGAATCCGCCAACTTTTATCTACTTTTAGCAACATCACACAACCCCCGCTTTCGAATTTAGCATAAAATATCGCATCAAGAGAATGAAATATGTCATGAAATTTTTGTTTCACTTTCAAAACACGTATGTGATTTTCATGAGCTTAATTCACACTTCTCAGTGCAGAGAGCTCAAGCAACTTGAGGGTCACGAGGGGGTATTTCTTAGAATGTTAAAAAAAATAAAAATAAGGAGCAAACAATCATCGAATGAAATTTAATCGATGATCGCCAACAGTACGATGGTAATTTGATTGAAATCAATATTGATTGTTGTGTTAGACAAAATTATTGATCGCAATATCATTGATTACTAACGATGATGTTGCCAACAATGTTGTCGATAATAATTAATTGTTCATCGGTCATTGTTGACTGCAGATTCCAATTGAATCATTATATATTGGAGATATAGATGGAATTATCAAAAATGATATCATTATTCATTTATATTTTAATTTAATTTAAACCCCCCACCCCGCACCCCCTCTTCTACGAAGGAGGAATGTCTTGATTTTGCTCTAAATACGTTCTATGGTAAAAGCAGAGCAAGGATCGCAAAAGATCTCCAAACTTCAAAAATAATATTTTAAAAATGCTCTCTATTTTATTATTATTATTATTACTTTCTTTTGTAAATTAACCTTTTATTTGGATTTTGAGTGCTTTAAAGCCGTCTAGTTTGTTCATGTTTGGCCAATTTTACAATAGTTTATGAGTCGGTTAAGTTTCATTTTTATATGCACATTTTGTAGGATTTACAATCTTTATATTTAGTTTTGATGGCTTATTATTCTCATATTTCATTACGCTCACAACGTATAATCAACAAAAATTTTGCCAAACATGCTCTGACAAAACGAAATTGGGCATTTTCACAAATAGGAGATTACAGTTTTTTGGATAAATTATAAATTAATAGTTTAACCATTCTTTATCGTTGTAATGTTTTTAAAGCAAATAATTTCTTATAAGAATCAAATTATCATCGTCTAGACAATATATTATCAAATATGCATGTTACATCCATAGTTTACTAAGAATC